CGCCGAGCAGATGCCGGCGCCTCCGCTCTTTCGCCGTCTGCACACGCTGGCTCCGCGCTCCCACTGCGCGCCGGCCGAGCATCCTTCATCCTGACCCTCCCGAGAGGGGGCACCAGAGACTCGACTGCCCAGGACCATAAATCCAGAAACCCACAGGCTACCTCCGCCGCGGAAGCCCGATGCGCTGTCACAGCGAGATTGGAGCGACTTGCTTTTCTCACCTCCAGAGCTGCTTTCTCCCTCTCTCTCAGAGCCAGACGTTATGTTAGGAAAGCTGCTTGACTTAATCTCTAAAATAATCCCCTGTAGGGCGTGGCCGGCGTTGTCTGGCCGAGCGGCCCAGTAGAGTTGGTCTTGACTGGGAGTGACTCGTTTTGTGCCTGAAGACAGCGAGGAAGAGTGAGGGCAGAGCATCCTTTTGAAATCATCCAGAGCAGCAGTAGAGTTTTGTGTTGCTTTTTTGTTTATACTGACCTTTTTTTTTTTTTTTCGGTGAAATGTTATTTTGGTTAAAAGAAGATATGGCCCCCCAGGAGCTCATCCGGCGACTGGCAACAGTGATCACTCATATCGGTAAATGAAGCTTTTTTTTCCCCTTGCGTATTATTGATGGAGGGTGGGGCCGTAGTCTGGGGCCGGGTCCCACCTGCCCTCACCCGCAGCTGGGGGCAGCGTCCTACCTGCGAAGGCCATGGGGCGCGTGCCTCGTCCGCTGCTTGGGGCCATCAGTAACAGGCATCCCTGGGGCGCGGCGCTCGCGGCCCTCGAGGCCCTGGGGTCCCCACGTCTGTCGGGGCCAGGTCTGGCCGTGGGACAGGTGCCTTTACCAAGCGATTGCCAAGTCTGTTGAGCCCTAAACCGAGGGCTTCTGGGCTGTTACCACCCGTTACCTGTTCTAACCATGGCGGGGATGGGGAGTTGTGTTGTAGTTTACGCAGTAATGGGAAAGGAAAGGGTACCTGAGGAGCAGAAGCCAGTGCTTTCCAGCAGAAACTACCGCCAAACCGCTGGAGGCTTGTTCACGAGAGAGCTTGGTGAAACACATGTGCTTTCCCCTTCCCCTTCCCTGGACCTCCCCCAAATAAAGACATTCGTGTTGAGAGCCTTTAGATGGAGATGACAAGAATTATCGGGGTGATTTTCCGTGTTGCTCACTTCGAGACGCTACCATGAATGCGAATCAGTTTTCATTGATAAAGTCAGTACGTTTTTACCTCACTGTCGCACCCATTTCTTAAAACTGTCTTCTTGGTATTTGTTAAGTCTTGATTCAATTAGTGAGAGATCATTGCGCTTCGAGTACCCTAGTCCAGTGTGTTTAGCACAATAATGATGTACATCTAGAATGACACACGTGTGGGGATATGTTTTGTGAAGATGATTTATATGACAAGGCCCAGTTTTGATGATTCTGTTTTCAAAAATGTTTCTGGTGCCAAATGTGGCCACCGAACTTGTTTTTCTTTAAGAGAAAAGGTCAGTACAGTCCTACCAGGAAAGGCTCAGTGTGAAATGCTGTTGAAGGCAGGTTGAAATAAGAAGAAAAATACCTTCTAATGAAACAATTTGGAGTTTGAAATATATCGAATGCTGAAATGATTGTGCTAAATACCAGCCTGTGCACGAAATTGTGGTGTAGAGAAAGATCAGTGGACTAGGGGTTTTACTGGCTGGATTTGAATCCTTCTGTGGATAAATCATTCAATCTCAGGTGGAAAAATGGGAATTTTAATAGTTCTTTCTTACCCAACTCCAAGGCTATTTGTAAGATAACGTGGGTAAAAACACTGTCTACGCTGTGAATGTGTTATTGGTCATATCTCTGGGCCCTTTGCCACTAAAAATCTTGGGCAGGTCACTGGGTCTCTCTCATCTGTTAAATAAGAAGATAGACCAAGATGATCATTAAGTTTCCTCCTATTTCTTTGGATGTAGATCTTCTCGAAGATTTGCTAGGCAATGTTCCTTGGCTAACATGAGGCTGCCTGTGGGGCCCAGGCTATGGTGTTCTTTGACCGCCTTGCTCCTTCTCTTCTTCTATAGTCAGCTCCATTCAACGTACAAACATGAATTTCTGTGGTTTCTGCCCTCAGAGAACATCTGTTGACCCCTGGCATTTATGTGCTTTGCAGCATTCTGTCTCTGTGTAACCTCACAAACTGTAAAATAGGTGGGGTACACATTATTATGCCCATCTTGTAAACGAAGAAATTGAGACCTAGGAAGTTCATCTTTTAAGATTTCAGCGGTAACAAAATAGTAGGCTTGGGACCAGAAGGAAGCTCTTCCGAAGAAATTGAGACCTAGGAAGTTCATCTTTTAAGGTTTCAGCAGTAACAAAATAGGCTTGGGACCAGAAGGAAGCTCTTTGGATGCTCTGTTCAGGCATCTCACTGAGGGGTCTGTCACCCTGCAATAGCCCCCTGTCTTCAGGGAGAATTGCATTGAGTGGCCAGTGAAGCTTCTGCTAGGGTGGATTGGCTCTGTGTTTGACTGTTCTTTTCAGGAGTTTCCTTGGGGAGCAGCTTCCGAGGAATGCTTGGAACAAGGCTGTGGGTTAAAATAGTCTCCTGGTCCCATCCTAGACACTCATCTGGGTAGCAACACTGCACATCCATAATTCACTCTGCCATCTCTGTCCTTCACCCAGTTCTTCTTCCAGCTTGGGTTTCTGCTCTTTTCACAGTCCCTGAAATTTGCTTTCTACAGTTCCTGAAATTTGACAATTTAGGTCTGGGTCCTGTTGATTCAGTTTCTGAAATATCTCATGAGTCTCTTTCTTCATGTCCATTCCCACTGCTACCTGCCTCTGACCTGTTTCAGAACTTCATTTTCTCCTGGCTAACCATTGCGTAAACCTCTCTCCTCTCCTGTATTTGCCTCTAACCTAAACTAGGAATAAAAGAACCCACTAAGAATATAGCACTTGTGTATGCCAGAACCTTTAATAATACTCTTACATAGTCATTCGCTGTAGCCTGGCGCACACAAGCTCTTTATTATTTGGTACCCTTCTAGTCTTATCTCCCAATACTTGATATTTCTATACCTGTGGTTGATCAACTTGGGCTATTTAGTTCTTCAGCTTTGTAACACTATAATTTTCAACTCTGTTCCCACCTGTAAACTTTTGCTTCTGCTTTCCCTCCACCTGGAATGACCTCTTAACGTATTTCCCCTCACAGATAGTGCACACCTTTCAATGCTTCCTTCACCAGGTACTTTCTCTGATCCTGCCAATAGGACATAATGACTCCTGCTTCAGATTTCCCAAGTAGGTTTTGTTCTACTCACATGACGCCTCTCATACTCTCCCCTCTGTTATGGTTATTTGGTTATTTGTGTGCTTGTCTTATCTCTGCTCCTAGGCTCCTCATTGCTTATCCATGTGTCCTAGACAGTTACCTAGCACAGGACCTTCCTCTAAGGAGATGCAGAATAAACGTTTGCTGAATAAATGAATGAGTTGTGCCTTAGAAAGGACCTTGAATATTGAGCAATGCCAGACAATTTTTACACTTTTAAGGACAGTTCTGAAGTATTTGAGGATAACTCTTTTGTTTCCTTAACCACACTTTTCAAGTTAACATTAAGTTTCTCAAGTCTTCTTTATATGATGTGGTTCACTGTGGGGAACTCCTTCTTTGGATTTTATTAGTTTGTCAGGTACTATCATAAAATATGCAGTTCACATGTAGACAGTGTCCAGATATGTTATTACCCATGCGGGACACAAGTAGGAATAACTTCTCCCTTTTATTCTGGACTATAGAGCCACATTGGTTCAACTACAGAGTTTCACAATCAGAAAATAGTTGTTTTATTTTCTCTACCGCATCCCTTCCAGTTCTTGAGTTCTCTCTGAAAGTTTTACTGTACTGCCATTGATATGCAGAGGTGCTGCCTAAGCACACATGGACTTTTACTAATGCATCTCAGATTGCTCTAGGATTTTGATCGGCAGAGCACATATGGCTCGCATGGTGCTTCCAGTTAGCGGAAAACCTTAGTCATCTATCTGGTTGGTGTCAGTAATCCCCTGCGCAGGCTTCACATTTCCAGTCCAGCTCACTGCCCTACCTTGTCATTTCATATTAGAAGTAATGATGTTGATCTTACTCTGTCATTGTTCTAAAATAGTTTCATATGTTTGGCTACACCCAATTAAACCATCAGGCCGAAAGGAACAACCTTTGAGACATTCCGTACATGATCGGAGATTGGATTGGTGGCTGTTTTGGTGACAAGAGCTGTAGGCTTTTGACTTGGAATCCAGGTCATTACTTTTAGGACGCTACTGGCATTGGTAACATGCAACCAGAAGAAAACTAAACTGAGAAATTCAGCCTATGACTCATTATTCTACAACGGAGTAGTGGATGAAATGCCGAGGACTATGCCTCAGCTGTTGGTGCTGAGGGGTGGATCTAATTAGAGTATTTGCTGCTTAGATGGGAATGCGCCCAGTAGGGACACCTAGACGTGCTGGAGTAATGACTTCATCTACCCCAAAAGTGAATTAACTGCATGTGAGCCATTTTTCTATTAGGCTCTCTAGACACTGTGCTCTAGGGCTTATGGATTGTTTAAGGTCTATTAAAAATGTTTGAACACTAAAAGAAATTGATTGACAACTAAATTGCGAAGTGCGAAATAAAATTTAAGAAATGTTTAAATATCTACAAAAGCTCTCTTGCTCACAATAAAATAACATTTCATTGCATTAAAAAACAATGCAACCTTTTGCCACGGTAGCCATTGAGGAACAGCAGCCATGGCTCTGCACTGCCCCATGGCCTTGGGCCTCAACAAGGGTCACAAGGTAACTAAGAACATGAGCAAGCTGAGGTATAGCTGCTGCTGAGGGCGCCTCACCAAGCCCACCACGTCTGTGCAGGATGTGATCCGAGAGGTGAGAGGTGTGTGGCTTTGCCCACTATCAGTGGCATGCCATGGAGCTGCTCAAGGTCTCTAAGGACAAGTGGGCCCTGAAGTTCATCAAGAAAAGGGTGAGGACATACACCCACGCCAAGAGGGCGTGAGGAGCGGAGCAGCGTCCTTGCTGCCATGAAGAAGGCAGCAGCCAAGAAAGACTGAGCCCCATCCCTTGGGTAATAAAGCCTTTTCATAAAAAAAAAAAAATAAAAATGCATAGTTGGAATTCCACCACAGGTACTCCTCAATTTAGGATGGAGTTTAGGTGTTGATAAACCTATTGTAAGTTGAAAATATCATAAGTCAAAAATGCATTGAATACATGTAACCTACTGAACATCATAGTTTAGCTTAGCCTACCTTAAATGCACTCAGAACGCTTAACTTAACCTACAATTGGGCAGTTATTTTGAGTTTCTTCTCAAGAATAATTACCTTCCTCTTCTCTCACCAGAAGCAGGAGACACAGATGGGCGTTTTGTAGACATGATGGGATACAAAAACATAAAACATGATATTCAAAAAGTGGATTGAAAACAGCTTTTTGATCCGTGGTTGAGAATCGTGCGGATGCAGAGGGCTGACTGTATGCACTGTTCTACATCATTTTATATAAGGTCTTGAGCATCTGTAGATTT